AAAATAAATCGTTCTTATGTTATGAGAGAAATAAGAAGAAGTGGGCAGAAAAAAATGAGCACTTAAGGGCGTTCTTAAGGTCCTCCTTGAGGGAAACCTAACTAGAAGTGTCTGTGAAGCTGCGTTATAAGTAAGTAAGTAAGTAAGTAAGTTTATTCAGGTATACACAAATACAGTTACATAGAATTATCATACATAGCAGCATATGTGTAGAGAACCTGGGATAACCCAAAAAAGTCAGACAGAGTGACTTATTTCCATTGTGGTCCTTGTCAGAGTAAGGTATCCCAGTATCCAGTAGTCTTCACTACGTCACTGCAGGAGAGAGGAATACCATATAACATTGTAATGCTACTTAATATAAAAGCATGTTAATACTTGTATACTTTTGGGTATGTATATGTTATATTATAATATATATATATATATATTATATATATTATATATATATATATATATATATATATATATATATATATATATATATATATATATGTATACATGTCCATATGTATACGCGTGAATGTATTCGTATACATGTGTGTGGGGGGGATAAAGGGATACCAGGCGGGAAGTTCAGGCAGAGTTTTAAGATATAAAAACTTCTAAGTGTCTGTGAGAGTAAGAACCTTGCAGCTGGTCTACTGGCCCATGCTAGGCAGGTTCAAATCACACTCGGTCACACCCACTCAAATACCAGTAAAACTTATATTTAAAGCTACCCAAAGTTCTCGCTTGAGTGGTGCTACCTGGGAGTTTGCTTCACTCATCTACAACTCAACTGCCAAACCAGTATTTTTCTATATTCTTTCTAAACCTAAATTTGCCCAATTTGACTCCCTTGCTGCGAGTTTTATCTTGTAAAGACAGTTTTAACGCATTATTTGACTTTCTTGTTGCGAGTTTTATCTTGTAAAGATAGTTTTAACGCATTATTTATCATTGCAATACAGTCACAAACAGGTGATCTTAACATTGCAGAACAACCCTAACGGGGTGGAAATGTTTAACTGCTGACGACGCGCCAGAGTACCAAACATTTACAGCTCTTTCCATCCCCATGTGGCTTGTTTTGTATATTTCCTTTTATTTCTTCCTTTCGTTTGTATATTCCAGTTAAATCTTCCCCAATTCTACGTCTTATAGAGAGACCTGCAACCTGTCTTTGTAGACACAATGTTAACTTATGATTATCAATGTTAACTTATGATTATCAATGTTAACTTATTATTATTAATGTTAACTTATTATTATTAATGTTAACTTATTATTATTAATGTTAACTTATTATTATTAATGTTAACTTATTATTATTAATGTTAACTTATTATTATTAATGTTAACTTATTATTATTAATGTTAACTTATTATTATTAATGTTAACTTATTATTATTAATGTTAACTTATTATTATCAATGTTAACTTATTATTTATTAATGTTAACTTATTATTATTAATGTTAACTTTATTATTATCAATGTTAACTTATTATTATTAATGTTAACTTATTATTATCAATGTTAACTTATTATTATCAATGTTAACTTATTATTATTAATGTTAACTTATTATTATTAATGTTAACTTATTATTATTAATGTTAACTTATTATTATCAATGTTAACTTATTATTATCAATGTTAACTTATTATTTATTAATGTTAACTTATTATTATCAATGTTAACTTATTATTATTAATGTTAACTTATTATTATCAATGTTAACTTATTATTATCAATGTTAACTTATTATTATCAATGTTAACTTATTATTATCAATGTTAACTTATTATTATCAATGTTAACTTATTATTATCAATGTTAACTTATTATTATGTCTTAACTTATTATTATTAGTGTTAACTTATTATTATCAATGTTGAATTATTATTATCAATGTTAACTTATGATTATCAATGTTAACTTATTATTATTAATGTTAACTTATTATTATCAATGTTAACTTATTATTATCAATGTTAACTTATTATTATCAATGTTAACTTATTATTATGTCTTAACTTATTATTATTAATGTTAACTTATTATTATTAAGTTAACATTAATAATAATACATTACTGTAGTAATTTTCTCGGGTTAAACGGATGTAAATATGGGTATCCAAATTTATATTAAATTTAGCAAATTAGAGACTACGAAGCTAACTGTGAAATAAATTGTTCTCTAAGGCAAATTTAGGTTGAAAGTTTTAAACCGATCAGTCGAGGTGTTTTCCAGTTATCACGAGTAATAACATAACTCTAATTTTTAACTTGTTAATATGTAAGGAAATTTGGACCTACACAACCTGATCTTAGAAGATATCTTGGAAGATATCTTGGAAGATATCTTAGAAGATATCTTAGAAGATATCTTAGAAGATATCTTAGAAGATATCTTAGAAGATATCTTAGAAGATATCTTAGAAGATATCTTAGAAGATATCTTAGAAGATATCTTAGAAGATAACTTAGAAGATATCTTAGAAGATATCTTAGAAGATATCTTAGAAGATATCTTGGAAGATATCTTAGAAAATATCTTAGAAGATACCTTAGAAGATATCTTCTAAGATATCTTAGAAGATATCTTAGAAGATATCTTAGAAGATATCTTAGAAGATATCTTAGAAGATATCTTAGAAGATATCTTAGAAGATATCTTAGAAGATATCTTGGAAGATATCTTAGAAGATATCTTAGAAGATACCTTAGAAGATATCTTCTAAGATATCTTAGAAGATATCTTAGAAGATATCTTAGAAGATATCTTAGAAGATATCTTAGAAGATATCTTAGAAGATATCTTAGAAGATATCTTAGAAGATATCTTACTTTTTAAAAAGTAAATCTATATTACGACTTTGAAGTCAATCAGAAGAGACATTCTCGTTACTGAATGAAAATTAATATCATATTTAGTTTAATTAAATAGACAAACTGGCACTAAACTGGCACTAAACTGTCACCAAACTGGCACTATCCACAGCAATAACTATCTTGTAAGTACAACACTGGTGCTGGAAGCGTGCAGGTTGTCAGTCCCACTCACGTTCCTTTCTCACACCAGAACAGAAAATGAGATATATTTACATCTCTGTCTGCATTTTATTCTCTGTTCCAGTTTTCATTTTTTCCAGAGTAAGTGAATTTTTTTCCCATCAAAGTGATATATATTTTTGTAACTCGCTGGAAGACTTGGGTATTACTTAAGAAGTTTCTTGTATTGGCTGATTGATTTATTCTGTCTTCAGAGTTTTTGTTGATAGTCTGAACGTTGTATCAGACTGTCATGGCAGTACTGGTACTGGTGGCTGGTACTGTCATGGCAGTACTGGTACTGGTGGTTGGTACTGTCATGACAGTACCAGCCATCATTGATGCAGCTACTGTCATGACAGTACTGGTACTGGTGGCTGGTACTGTCATGACAGTACCAGCCATCATTGATGCAGCTACTGTCATGACAGTACCAGCCACCAGTACCAGTACTGCCATGACAGTACCACCACCAGTACCAGTACTGTCATGACAGTACCAGCCACCAGTACCAGTACTGCCATGACAGTACCAGCCACCAGTACCAGTACTGTCATGACAGTACCAGCCACCAGTACCAGTACTGCCATGACAGTACCAGCCACCAGTACTGCCATGACAGTACCAGCCACCATGTACCAGTACTGCCATGACAGTACCAGCCACCAGTAACCAGTACTGCCATGACAGTACCAGCCACCAGTACCAGTACTGTCATGACAGTAGCTGCATCAATGATGGCTGGTACTGTCATGACAGTACCAGCCACCAGTAACCAGTACTGTCATGACAGTAGCTGCATCAATGATGGCTGGTACTGTCATGACAGTACCAACCACCAGTACCAGTACTGCCATGACAGTACCAGCCACCAGTACCAGTACTGCCATGACAGTACCAGCCACCAGTACCAGTACTGCCATGACAGTCTGATACAACGTTCAGACTATCAACAAAAACTCTGAAGACAGAATAAATCAATCAGCCAATACAAGAAACTTCTTAAGTAATACCCAAGTCTTCCAGCGAGTTACAAAAATATATATCACTTTGAATGGGAAAAAAATTCAGTTACTCTGGAAAAAATAAAAACTGGAACAGAGAAGAAAATGCAGACAGAGATGTAAATAGATCTGAAGAGAATTACGAGAAACATGAAGCTTAAAACCATGCTAAGCTTATGCTTATGTCTCTCACTTGTACACTATAGACTGCAATATTACTGTACACTAACAACCCTTTTAAGACAGGTGAAAGTCAAGATCTAGACAATGTACAGAGAACTTTCACTGCCTCTATAAATTTAAACCCTTGAACTACTGAGAACACCGAAAATCTCTGAAATTGTGCTCCCGTGAGCACCGCTGAGGAAGATCAATTTTAATTTACATCTGAAAAATACTAGAGGGAGAGGTTCAGACTTTGTACACAAATATTCCTCTACGTGAGAAAAAATACTTGGTAGGTGATGCAAAGTTCCCACGTAAATTACAGCCGGAATAACAACACTAAATAAACTTATAGAACCTAGAACCAAGAAGACATTTCGACACTTTTGAAATACAGGTGATAAGAAGTGATCCTTGTCTTCATGGTTCTGAAGGGTTCTAAAGCCAAATCCTGATCAACTGGGTTGTGAACCATACTATAAAGCGTGCACTGGACACGAACAATCTGATTGACCAGACCGTTAGGTAGGAGGCCTGGTCCCAGACCTTTACGGTACCTGGTACCTGGCAGTAACATTCATCAGGAAAGAGGATAAAATGTCTCCTGACGCGAGTCTTGGTCCCAAAGACCCACCACTGGAACTTTTGGTCACATGACCGAGGTCTTCCGCTATCTTACCTGTCCATGCCTTTTAAAACTCAAGATAACACTAATGTTAATTTCTAGAGATAAGAGAAACATTTGTGTTTATACTCACCTGTATCTGTGCACTTCACCTGGGGTGACTCACCTGAGTGGGAATGGGTGCGCCAGGGGGCCCACAACCAGCGTGGGCGGCGGGTGGTGTGGTGGTGGGGTAGGTTGGGGGCGGCAGCATCAAGGGGGGTGAGGGGCTTGTTGACTGGCCGGGTGTACGTGGCACTCCTGAAGGTGGACACCTCCCATCAGTACTTCAGGGGGGGGGGAGAGGGGAAGGGGCCGGCACCCATTAATACAAGGGGGAAGGGGGAGAGTCAGACACCCATTAGAAGGTATGGATCACCCATTAAACAAGCTGTGAGTGCCACCCCAAAGAGAAGGTGGCACAAAGTGTGTGCATTAAGGCAGTGGTTCCCAAACTTTTTCAGCTTGTTACCCAATTTAACATGCCACATAAAGCATGTTACCCCTTTCACAAAATGTTGTTATTATTGATATATATGGCTAAACGTGAACGTATACAGCCTCGCATACTCTGCTAATCCTAGCAAAACCATTGAAAACGTAAGAACCACACATACATTATATATAAAATTAATAATAGCTACAAATTCACAGTAACAGTGGGTAAATACTAACTATATACTGTACAGGGCAGTACACATACATACCAGCTTATGTCTACCTCGGCTGATGCTCACAGATAAACTGACAGTGTGAAATAGAGGCAGCCTCAGGAAGTGAGTGACGCGTACTGGACAGGTCGATCTGGGCTACTGAGTGACTTTTGTCCTGAAGCATACTTGTCAAAATACTTTTGGGTTTCCACACACTTAGCTATATATTTCTTCTTTTCTATTACTGTATATTAGTTTTTGATGTTTATTGTTATTTGGTTTAACTTTATTACTTACTTATAATAGGTTTACTTTACAACTTTATATACTAAGACAAAGTTAACAATAATCCTCATACCGGGTACCGCATTGCTTTCTTGATTTTCAGAATTCATAACTTTTTTTCTGTCACTCCTCCATTACCCCCCAAAAATGGTTAAATTACCCCCAGGGGGTAATTTACCCCCAGTTTGGGAACCACTGCATTAAGGGAATCAATGCAATGATTACGTATTTAGAAAGAGAAAACATTACCCATCAGAAGACAGTAGTAGTGAGTGTGGTTCTTGAGGGATGGTGCGCTTCTTAATTACCACCTTGATGATGGTCTTCAACGTAGGGGCAGGAAGTGCATGTTAACCAAGTATAGACAAGGTGTGAGGCAGGTGTAAGCTAGGTGTGAAGCAGGTGTAAGCTAGGTGTGAAGCAGGTGTAAAGCTAGGTGTAAGGCAGGTGTGAAACAGGTGTAAGGCAGGTATCTAAGAACTTACCTTATATACATCGGAGAACAATATGCGGAACTTGCCCAGTCACAACTGCAGTTCATATATATATATATATATATATATATATATATATATATATATATATATATATTATATATATATATATATATATATATATATTATATATTGCAATAAGCTCACAGTAAACAGGTGATTTCAGAATATACAAAACAACCACTGTGAAAGAATAGAGAAATTCCAAGCGTTTTCGTGACTACTCACATTATCAAGGAACAATAAAAGTAATGCATCAAAGGAAGGCATATAAAGGGTCTAGACCACACCTCACTATCACATCCCCAACAAAGCAACACGACGCGCGACTCATAGGAAAGGGAACACTGCAGCAGGCCCGCCGGCCCAACTAGACAGGTCCTTCACACAACCCACCAACAAACTATTCTACCCAAGAATTAAGAATTTTAAAATTTATTATTTGTCCAATGTATTAAATTCTTCCCAAATTCTATTAATTATAAATGGATCTAATTTATATAAACCAAAGGAAATATTCATATTATTGTCAAAACTGCTTTTTATGAAACAAGATTCAATTATATTCCTGTCGACCATGGACTTGCTTGATACAACTTTCTCAACTTTTTGAAAATCAATTGGATGGTTAAAATCTCTCACATGAATAAATAGAGCATTGGAATCTTGTCTAGTTCTAATGCTATCTTTATGTTGTTTTAATCTTAGTTCGAGATTTTTACCAGTTTGACCGTAATAAACTTTATCACAAATTTTACAAGGAATCTTATAGACACATCCGTCAGTATTTTGGAGGGAATTCTTCATCAAAATTTTTTTTACTGTATCAAGATTTTTAAATACAACTTTGATATTAAAAGTCTTAAGAAGAGAAGGCATATCAACCAAGTTTTCCTGGTAAGGGAGAACCAACATATTTTTAGTTGAATAAGGTTGGTTGTCCCTTTTTGGATTGTAAAAAGTATTTCCTAGCAATTTTAAAAGATTTATCAATTACGTTTCTTGGGTATTTCAAATCATCAGCTATTTCATAAATGTTGGATATTTCTTCATCTATGAACTCTGGACTACAAATACGTAAAGCTCTCAAAAACATTGATGAGAAAACAAACAGTTTAACTCTATCTTGATGTTGTACGCGTGAATCTTAAATAAAATTCAACTTCCCTCCGAGTCTCAAGTTTTTTCTAACTTGACCACAACCCACAAATTCACAACCCACAACCCACACATTCACAACCCACAATCCACAACCCATAACCCACAACTCACACATCCACAATCCACAACCCACAACCCACACATCCACAACCCACAACCCACAACCCACAACCCTCACACAACATGTCGGTTCTCTGAACCACTGATCTACAATCCTGTCAGACACTGCAACTTCTTGGGATCTTAATACTTGGGAATTCTTCACTTGCCTAACCCTTGGTCACGACCTACTTCCACATTGAACAAATGTGACACCACCTACAACTGCTGCACCTCTCCTGCCTACGGTATATAAGCTGCTTCTCCGCACTTATGCCGTATTCTATTCAAGATTGATGGACTGACCACATCGACTCAAGGTTGAGGGACTGATTACCTCATTCTCCTCCTGTTCTTCAATATTCTCCTTTGTATGGACTGATGAAGCCACTGTGTGGCGAAACGTTTCCTCAATAAAGATACCCAAGAGTTGCACATGTGTCTAATTTATCAACATGTCGGTTCTCTGAACCATTCATCTACAACCCACACCCCACAACCCACACATCCACAACCCACAGCCCACACACCCACACACCCACACACCCACACACCCACGATAAGGAATATGTTGTTATCTTATTTTTCTTATGTTCATTCTCCATTCTTATGAATATGTTGTTATTTATTTGGATTTCCTTACTGGTTTTAATAAATCATCAGACAGAAGACTGCTAATGGTATTAGAGAAACAGTTAGGTCATGGGTCGAGGCATGGCTGACCAACAGCAAGCTGAGGGTTTGTATTAATGGGCTTAAGTCAGAATCGGGACCGCTCACGAGTGGCGCTCCACAAGGTCCACTGTGAGTAATTTCGCTGATGACACGAAAACAGACATCTGTGTGGAAGGTCGTGTTTTCCTTGATGGGACCTACATGAGGAAAAGTGGCGACAACACCAGCAGGTGAGGAACCTCGGATATCAATTACACAAACTGAAGGAGGTTGTTCTCGGAAGGTTATTTCCTTCTGAAAGAAGAACTGGGATTCGGGAAGTAGGTGATGCTGATGAAAGATCTCACTACCAGACTCCTCTCCGACGACTACACAACACTTGCATAAGGGGCTCCCATTTCTCACCTTGAATTAGTAAGGCATCTCACCAATAACTATAAGCTGCTGTCTGTTGAAAAACAGAGATTTTAAGAAAGATGTCAAGAAGTATTAACTCAGAATGCCCTCGAGTTCGTCCTGGTAAGTTAAAATCCTGTAGTGACCATCCTCAGAGCAGACCTCTGGTGAGAAACAGAAGCTCAGCATTGCTCAGCTTGTTTTCTTTCATTGCACAAAAACAAAGTCAGCTAACTGCACCGAGGCTCCCCTGCCAGTGTAACTTGAGCTAAGTATTCACGGTTCAGGAGAAGCCAACTGGTAGATGACTTTGCTAGACTCGGGCTTTCTGTGAACTATCACGGGGGCTCTACCCGGAGAAAGTGTGTCATGTTGTCATTAAGTAATGTTCCCTCAGCTTCATCGGGAACTGTTCACTTTTGGAGGAGATGACAATGTCCATCATAATCTATCTTCAACAACCTCTGTAGGAACTTTCCATGACACTGCCATCTCACTGATCAAAACAATTAGTGTCAAAGGTGATTGAAAAAGACGAGATCTATTTCTAAACGTGGTCATGGAAAATATGTCTTCCAGATAAGTATATCAACATCCCTCCATTGACTCTCAGCCTCAGGTGTCTTATTCCAGAACGACAACGGTAAAAGTCCATGGAAAAGACATCAAAGATAATGAAAGTGGGATCAAACAGCGAGAATTCTGAAGAATTGGTCTGACTTTCTAAGCAAAAATACCAACAACATGGGACTGGATACATCGATTACTCTTCCTAGAAGATATGTACATCACTCTTGGTGACAACAGTTGGGCATCGAGGTCGTGCAACGAGAAGGAAGCTGACACGGACTCTCCTCCACATCCATCGTGCAATAAACTGCGGAGCTTCACTTGTGTTGCTGCTGAAGACATCCAACTCCTATGTAATCGTCAAAACTGGTTCACATCACTTCTGGTTCAGTTCAGTCAATGCAACATCATAGTACAATACAAGCTCTAGTAAACACAAGAGGTTCATCAACATCAAAACAGTGACGTACACTCAGACCTGAGCCAACTGCAGTTTTCTCTCTGCATTTAGTGTTCTCACTGGACGTGATTCCACATCGCCTATGACGGAACATTCAAAAGTACAGCTCTTCAGAGCCGGGAAAATGGTGTCAAATAAATGTCACAAATGCAGCTGTTAATCTAACGAATGATCCACTCAGATAACTTGAACTTGGCAACTGCAAGTTCAAAACCTTGTAAATGTTCTTCATCAAAATCTACGAAGAAAGGGGACAATGTCAGTCATTGAAATAACGAGGAAAATGTTTTATTAAATTCATTAAGTGATGGCGGAACATAGTGCACGGTCATACATGATGTTGTATCAACACTGTGTACCATCAGCTGTGTACCAGGCAAGTATATAAATGTCTGCCCACGAACCACTATGTGAAGAATCGAATCCAAGTCTTTATGGCTGCCCGACAGAAGGAAATGAACTCTTTCG